CAATACATGCTAAACTACGGGTTGATGAGGATAATAACAGCTACTTTATATGCATTTGTTATCCCTTCCAATGGCGCAGATTACTATCTGTATTTCCGTATCCCCTTCTCGCATCTCACCTTTGAGCCTTTTTCTCGGTGGTGTGCGTTCGAGCCTAGAGGTTTCATTATTGTTGTTATTTAGGGTCGTGCTAGCTCACGACCCAGCGTAGGGGTTGCGAAGTGGCTTCCGGTGACTAGGGACTCAAAGCAGCCTGGAATTAGTATCACGGAACGCCTATGGAGTTCATTTAGTCAGATGTACTGTCCCTCTGGGGTATAAAAGGTAAAACTTCAAACTGGGCTGTTTAAGGGATTAGCCCTGTAGGCGCAGTTGGGCTGGCTCGCAATAGGTTAGACTGTCTATCGTCATTACCCCGCTCGCCATGAATTGTGGTCCAATCGTCTACTTCCAACATTCGGTTAGAAAAACACATTTTCAACGAGATTTTTGGCTGTCTAACCTTTTTAGTCCTTGAAACTTAACATCACTATCAATTCATCCTCTATTTTAGCAAACAATGTCTCTCGAAAAGTCTGCTTCAGAAACCAAAGTTTGCAGGCATCTAACTCGCGATCAGTGTATTGAAATAAGAAAATTAAGAAGACTTGGCTTGACATTACAGCATATATCCGACGAACTTGGCTTCACAAGAAGGCAAGTGCAACTTGCGTGTGCTTGAAAGACAGAGAATCCCAAGCCCCGCAAAAGATGCTTATCTAAATTAAGCGCGGAACAAGTTGATGAGCTTGAAGTTTTCGGCCGGGAATCTCCTGAAAATCGACAGATGTGCTATTTGGAACTAGCCACGGGGCCCTTCAGCCACTGGGGGGAAGCAGTGAGGGTTTAATTTCTAATGCCCTCAATTAAATAGGTTACAGCAGATGCACTGCTCGGAAGAAGCTTCCGTTAAGTGTTGTGCGTTCACGTATATGGGTTACGAATGTCTTACTGTAGACTATGAACTCAAAGCACGCCTGTAATCTTGGACTGCAGAATGCCTGTGGAGTTCGTTAAGTCTAGTGTAAGTTCGTTATTCATTCAATGCCGACCAGAAACTCCCTAAGACTACAAACACGCTAACCTATGATTACATAATATAGACCCCACTAATGTTATCATCCCGTTGTCCTGTGACCTGGACACACAGTGTGGTTAACATGCACGAAAGATGTATAGCGGTGAAAATGGAAAATGGAGGGTTCACAAAGTATTGGGATGGAGCAGAATTATACAAAATATGAAGTACGCTTTCATTTTACTTGCGAGCCATACCGAGGGCTTCGATGTATACTTTTGTAGTACAGAGCAATTATTTTGAAATAGATGTGTATTTTTAGAGAATATCGATTGATTTCTTAAATTTTTAATTTTGAATGAGGACCATTGTACTTTTCCCATGATACTGAAAACCGTCCCCATTAATTTTGACTTTCACGGAATATCGTTGGATAGTACCCCTACTTGCAAAACTAGTCGATAAACTAGATATGGGCAAGCATGAAGACTAAACCAATCTAATCGATATGCACGGGGATATAGCCCCAGTCATTTTGACAATTTTACATTTGATATCCTTAAAAGACCGTAGGTTGTTCGTTCTTCCTAATCCAAATAGGAAACTCCCATTCTTACGGGTGCGCTGACACACGATTACACAATAAGGTTCCCGCTAATCTTCTCAACGCAGTGTCCCGTGACTTAGACATACGGTGGGTTTACAATGGTCCCACTGCCACTTGTAATTTCCTGCGTCGGAGAATAGGCACCACATAACTGTACGCTGGAGGGCAAGACTGAACACCTGTACGCGGTGTCCTCTACGAACCTGGGAGTGAAATATTCTCCCAGAGCCAAGTTCAGTCAAATTTCGCAATATCAAAGAAGTTGGCCCACGAGGCAAAATTTAAAATTACTCCACCACGTCGTTTTTCCGCTCCCAACGAGTTTGACGCCTACCTGAGTCTTATCAAGTCTACAAGTACGACCTAGTACATCCTCATCCCAATGACCACACCTCTCTTCGACCTTCTCTGGTCTCAGTTGACCACCAAATACACGCCCACGCCGATATTTATACCCGACGGAGGAAGCAAAGCGTGGCGCACAAATCTGGGAGACAGTTCTTCGGGATGGACGTGAGAGGGATCAGGACAAGTTTACATGATGATGCAAAGGAAGGATATAACCTTGAAGGGAGTGAAATTCCGAATTTTGGCAAGCAGTTTTACGAATCGAGCTTTGTGCGCGCCAAGACTTCGCTTGTGAGAGTGCAGCTGACACTATAAAAACTAGCCAACGATGGAAGGTGTCGTGGTCCGCCTCCTGGTGGTGTTCTCTGGTATGGTTTGAGTAGCCTGGGCACCTACTCCACTTGGGAAAGAGACACCCCAGATCACATATCGCGCGGAGAATAGTTGAAAGATGATGAAGGCATGTCTGGATAACTCGGGGTTTTTGAGATGTTCCCCTGGGTGGGTATTCACGGATGAGGGTTGACTTGGGGTGAAGGAAAAGCCGGCACAACTTCGCAGTGGTACTTGCAAATGAAATCCGAGGCATGAGTGCTCCTTTTGTAAATTGAGTCATCTTTTCTGTACTTTTCTTTGATATTGTGTCATAGCTAGATAGCTGCATACGCAATTAAAATCTGATGCAAAAAAAAAAAATAAAAAAAAATAACTGTACGCTAAGCCTACGTTAAACAGGGCGGGCTACAGGTAAACACCGGCTTACCTACCGTCTCGTTAACCACCATTCCTTTTTTTTTTTGGTATCAGATTTTAATTGCGTATGCAGCTATCTAGCTATGACACAATATCAAAGAAAAGTACAGAAAAGATGACTCAATTTACAAAAGGAGCACTCATGCCTCGGATTTCATTTGCAAGTACCACTGCGAAGTTGTGCCGGCTTTTCCTTCACCCCAAGTCAACCCTCATTCGTGAATACCCACCCAGGGGAACATCTCAAAAACCCTGGGTTATCTAGACATGCCTCCATCATCTTTCAACTTTTCTCCGCGCGAAATGCAATCTGAGATGTCTCCCTCCCAAGTGGAGTAGGTGCCCAGGCTACTCAAACTATACCAGAGAACACCACCAGGAGGCGGATCACAACACCTTCCATCGTCGGCTTTTATTTATAGTGTCAGCTGCACTCTCGCAAGCGAAGTCTTGGCGCGCACAAAGCTCAATTCGTAAAACTCTTGCCAAAATTCGGAATTTCACGCCCGTCGAAAACGTATCCCTCTTCTGCATCATCTTGTGAACTTGTCCTGATCCCTCTCACGTCCATCCCAAAGAGGTATCTCCCAGATTTGTGCTCCACGCTTTGCTTCCTCCGTCGGGTATAAATATCGGCGTGAGCGTGTATTCGGTGACCGGCTGAGGCCAGAGAAAGTCGACGAGAGTTGTGGTCATTGAAACGAGGATGTACTAGTTCGTACTTGCAGACTTGATGAAGCTTTTTTGAGAATCGGACTCTTTGGGAGTGAAAGATTGAGATGGTGGAGTAATTTGAAATTTTGCCTCATGGGCCAACTTCTTTGATATTGCGAAATTTGAATGAACTTGGCTCTGGGAGAATATTTCACTCCCAGGTTCGTAGAGGACACCGCGTACAGGTGTTTAGTCTTGCCCTCCAACCACCATTCCTTATTACTGCTGAGGCGAGCTTATGATATAAATACCACCTGAGTAATACGATAGGTGCTTAGAGAGATGATATCATCAACCGTTGGAGTGTACATCAAGCATCTCCTTCACAGATGACCATTGTTAGTACCAGTTCATATTTGATACCAACTGACACCCATCGGTCACAGTGTGGATCCAGAAGATTCGGATCATAGTACCCTCGTGTGAGGTTCGGAATAACTATTGCACACACACCACCTCTGTAGAGTCGTAGCTTTTAGATACACAGAATACATACCATACAGATCACAGCAGACCTTTACATGCAGATATACATGTACATTAAGGGCCTGGTGATATTGGTATTCAAGACGCATAATAGTAGTAGCCGCTCATTATCCAGCGCGCCATCCCTGCAACTCACCACTGCAAATTAGCCCGAGCCATTCCCCCGACGGACCGCAGGGCCATCCAGTTACCATATATCTCTCAGCTCTCAGCCATAACACTTCTGCGGCACATATCGAGTGTCGGATGTTAGAGCAACGTCGTAGTCAAGAGCAGTGGCCAAGAATCCCGAGAAGGCGATTGTTGGCCCTATCTACACTCGTACACACGCACCCTAGTCTACTATTACCGAGGTTTATCTTAGAATAAGATTCTTGTATACGAGTGGTACGTAAGTACTGGAAGTAGAATTGATAAAGTATTGAGTTAATCTATCGTGTATGATTCTCGCGATCATAGCATCCTTCAATGCTGCGACCATACTCCTATTAAGATGTGTCTGCCAGCCTCGTCTATACGCTAATACGGAACTACTAATACAGGGTATCTAAGATCTCCAAACGCCTTACCCTCTATACTCCTAAGTAAGTAATAAATACAACCATAACTCCATTATGTTCAGGTACAGGAATGATTATGTTTGACCAACAATCATATAGTTCAACAGTTTACATCAATCTTGGGCCCGGCCAACATAGACTAGAGTATTCAGCCGCCATATTGTGCCTGAGTAATGATTAAAACTTGGACTGAGCAGTGGAGCAAATTAATGACACTAAGAAGCGGAGGAAGATTAGCATTAGTAGAGCCGAGCCCGGTGGAGGTTGAAGGCAGGAATCTGCGAGCTTTAACGGGTATCCTCGAGTTAAAGGCGTGCGTGAAGGCTCCAAGACACTGAGTCCACTGTAGTAGCAAATTGACGGCAACTCTGACTCGTACGTCTTCCCCCTCGACCCTGCGATAAAGCTAGACCAATTCTCCCCGAGCCCAACCATCTCGATCTCCCAATCATCATCTCTTGCCCGTCCCATCGCCATGCTGCATAGCCACAATATGCACTTCCCTCGCTTGCTGAACTGCCGTGCAATTTGGTTCGTATCTATCATAGCTGTGGTGCAGTGTTTTCAAAACTATAGATGTGACAACAATTATGTGGTAACAGCCGAGGAGATTGAAGAAGTCTACAATAAGGTCGTGCGCTACACAAATGATGCCGCTAGAACGGGCAAATCTCTGAAAGATGATGAATATAGAGGAAACTTGGCCGATGTACCAGCACACACCTATAATTGGTTCATAACCTACTCGCTCAACTCCTCGGGAAGTAAGTATTACTCGAGCAACTTACTTGCATCTACTAATATGGCGTAAAGATCTGGCGATGGATTACTTTCTACTGACGTCTTCCTCGAACGAAATCGTGGGGGTAATAAGCACTGCCTTCAGTCCGTTTGTTAAAAATGATGACAACTGGTGTACCCCGATGTCACCGGCTTAAACGGGTAATCAGGTCGCTGTTGATAAGCCTGACTATTATTCTGGTCTGGAGAAAAAGTATCGACCGCCACAGGCATTGTCCAGCTAAAATACCCTAATTCTCGCTACTTGTCCTGCACCTCGAGATGGAGTCGATTGCAAGCATCTGACGTGCATTTCCCGCCTTCTCTCCATGGCTTAGATTGTGCCGTAAGGCTCAGTGATAGGAGCCCCTACATCAATTCCAAGTAGGCCCACTCCGCGGCCATGGCAAATGGCGCATCTTATTTTACCATTTACATTATTTTGATTCCTCTGGCTGTAACAATTAATCGGAGCTTTGGGTACAGATTGCATGATAAGTCTGACTCTAGCCACACTCATATCTTAAATTTCATTCGAAGGCCACGGCGTGACTAATGCCCGCTGATAGAATAGTCGACTCAGCGTGGGAAGCTGCAAAAGAGAATTGAAACCTTTAGCTGTTCGTGTATGCCTTCGTCCTCATTGTAGTTGTGCATCAAGTGCAGGCGTTCTTTCATTACTCTGCTCAGTCTCAAGGTGACATAGATAATTATAACTCGTTGTAATTCACGACATTACATAACTTCCTCTTCCTCAGTATCCATCTCTTTATTACAGCCCCCGATACACGAGAATTGCGGGGAATAGCAGGGGATAGACTGAATACCCCTCCGCCGTGTCCTCTATGAACTTGAGAGTGAAATGATTCCCCGGAGCCAAGTTGTTGGGAGTTGTGTGTCGGTTCCTAGAGGAAACTCACTTAAATAATATAGGCACAACCTTAACGTGCTTCGTATTTAATAAAGCCGATTAGTTATTCACCTAATCTTTTAATATTATTATCAAGTAAATAATGATATCTCAGTCACTGAGGTTGTGGAGCGCAATGATCCAAGCCGCTACCGAAGTGAAATTAAGTACATAATTTGTAGTCACGTGTGTACCAACAACGTGTCCTACTTGCTAGCCCCAATTTTTCTAAATTTTGGGCTGGATGGTGCAGTGGTACACCATCCGGGGCCGTCCTCCTAAGTAGATACTGGGTAGCTTGAACACCTACCCCATTCGAGACAGGAGAAAGCTGGTTCGAATCCAGCCAGACCCACACACCATTCTCTCTCGCGGTGATATCGTTCTTGTGGGATGATGAAAGCACACTCGGATAGCCACAGGTTTTTCACGCTTTTCCCTGTGGTGGGTATGCACAGAAGAGGTTATACACCGTCAGGGTTAACTTCTAGTGGTATCTGCAAATGAAATCTGAGAGATAGTGTTCTAAATGTCAAATTGAGTCATCCTACTTAAAGTACATATCTTCCGATAAAAATCTGCACGGGCCTCAAGGCGCCAAATCAGGTAAAAAGAACTATATATATATTCTAAAATTTACGGTATATACTTCGACCCCCATTACCACACATCGTCGTCTCTCTTTTCCTATCCAGCTGTTTCCCTAAGTCGATTACTACATTTCGATAACTATAAAGTGCATCATAGTTTGATCATCGCGCTCGTGATGGCCAAATCACAACAACCACCTCACTTAGCCCAGCGCGTGGCAAAGGGTCGAGCTGCCTGGGACCAATCCTTTCACACCAAGTTTTGGTCAGCCGTTAAAGAGGCTGATCCTCTCATTCAGTCCTTCGTGCGTGAGCAAATGGACGCGTTTCTCCTTGCGGTTGCTCCCGGGCACCCTATGCGACTCAACAGCCATGTACAACCCAAATCGTCGGGCTCCCTACCCAAGCCCGGCCAAAACATTCCACCACGACCACTTGCTCCTACTTCGGAGCAACCGAAAAATTGGGCAGCGACCGCCGCAGGCCCTCCAGCAATCGTCCTCACGGCGCCGTCTTCGTCTCGGCCCAACTCTGCGCATCGCACCCCTCGCACGCCTGTTCCAAAACAAGTTGCAACAACCAAGGGCCCCAAGGCCATCTTCCGCCTCTCAGAAGAGGCTCCACTTCTCAGAGCAGACGCCACTTCAGTCAAGTCTGCTTTCATTCATACTGTGCCCGGTCTCAAGGATGGAATTGCCTCTATCTCTCGCTGCTCTAATGGTTTCAACGTCGTTTTCTCGTCTGATACATCGCTGAAAGTTGCGATGGACAACGCTGACTCCATAAAGGCGTCTCTCTCCGGTTATCTCGCTCAACTTGAAGACCGCAGCGGGTATGTTGTTAAGCGTATCCCACGCACCATCTGGAACCCAGTTTCTAATTTGGTTCCTACAATGCTTGATGACGTCAAGAGTATTGCCCAGGCACAGACAGGCGTCGCTCCATCCAGTGCCCGATGGTCTTTACATGAAGATCGCCATGATCCTCTGCATACGGCCGTTATTTTCTTCTCAAAGGAGGTGTCCACTTTTCGAATTGTCGACAGCGCTCCTTCCAGACGTTATGTCCCTAACTCGAAAGTAGTCCAGTGTGATGCATGCTTTGGGCTTCATCAATCCTCTCGCTGCCGCGCTCAAGCGATGTGCGCTCGTTGTGGTACACCTCGCCATCATGGAGAATGCCGGCACCTTGGTCAGTGTATCCACTGCCTAGGGCCTCATTCTGCAGACGACTCTAACTGTCCTCTACGTCCTCGCCCTTTCAATGGCAAACTAATTCAGCCTTCAGAAAAAGCGATCGCTGAACTCCGATCACGTAACCGTAATAATCTCCGGAGAGAACGTCGCGTAGAGGCAGCTGCCACCTCTGCCAGTAGCTCCAGTCCATCGACTCTCTCGACGGAAGCTCCCTCCGTTCCTTCTAAGCGCATGTTTTCTGCCAGCTAGAACAGCTTCACACCATTTGCATCTGCCTCAGATGGTTCTATGGAAGTAGATCTAGGCGAGCAAGTCACCATCAATACCTCCAAAAGTAATTCCTATGAGCAATAGAGCCGATTTCAGGAGCACCCCCCCGCCTTGCCTCCGTTTCCTCCGAGTAAACGTTGGGCGTGGTGGATCTTCTCGCCTCATCCTTCTGCAAGCCGCATTTTAGGGCAAGTATGATGTGATCTTTGTCCAAGAGCCCTGGACAAAAACAAAAACCAAAAGAACGTAACCAAGTCCCATCCGGCCTACGTTGTTTTCACTCTTCCTAATCGTGACTGGAAAATTGCGCGCCCGCGCGTTATGACCTATGTACGAAAGAAATCAAACCTCCGTCCTATCCAGCTGGATTGTGGTCTCTCGCCTGATATCATCGCCCTCAGTCTCCAGTGCTCTCCACTTGTAGAAGTCATAAATATATACCGCCCACCTCAAGCTCATATGCCTGAGAGCCTCGGTGCACTCCTAAGTTGGCCGATCAAACCGAATACTATAATTGTGGGAGATTTTAATCTCCACCACGAATTATGGGATCCCAATGTTTCCCGTTCCTCTGGCGTCAGCAGCTTTGTTGATTGGATTGATAACTATCCTTTGAGGTCCGCATTGCCTTACGGAGATCCTACCCATCGTGCCGGCCACGTACTCGACTTAGTACTTACGAACATGGAAGGACTTTCAGCTCGTGTGGCTTTGGAGGCACATTCAACCTCTGACCATGAGACAATATCTGGCTTCGTCCAACTCTTGTCATCTCAAAGGCGTCACGTAATGCCAAAGTTACCAAAATTCAACGATGAGAACGCTGAGACATTTCGTCTAGCCCTCTCTGCTACCGCACCTCCTTCTCTTCCTTTTGAGGACCCATCCTCCCAAAGCCTAGACGCGGTGACTTCATCTGGCATCGCCGCTCTCTCGGCAACTTTGCTTGCTGCTAACCCTCCAAGGCCTGCATGCATTCCATGCAAAGATTATTGGAACCACGAATGCTCAGACCAACAGCGTTGATATCTCGAAGCCCGCCATATCGGTGATCCAGGTCTCATTAGTGAGGCACACAATAATTTCCGGAAATCTGTAAGACTAGCTAAACGAGAACATAAGCGCTTCAAGATGGATAATGTGTCTTCGATCCTAGAGGCCCATAAAGTTGTTGGATGGCGGAAGCTATCTAGTCGCTTTGGCCCCCCTCCAGTTCAATTTCAAGGTGTCACATATAGCACTCCGATCGAGCGTGCAGACATATTCTTTCGAGCTAAGCTTGCCCGCACAATTGGTCAACCAGATATACCAATGAATACCCCTACTTGCCCACTGCGTGAAATCCCCGCGCCTCTCTCTATAAATGAAGATGAAGTGCACCATTGTCTTCTGGAGATTTCGTCAAGTACCCCGGGACATGACCACCTCTCTGTCTCAGCTCTCCGTTTGGTATGGGGAGTAGATACATGGCGCTCGTGGGTTGTTAACCTTTACAGCCTCTGCCTGGCATATGGTCACCATCTCAGCATCTTCCGTCGCGCCGAAGTGGTGGTCATTCCTAAACCACACAAGGATGACCTCACTAACCCCGCAAATTGGCGACCGATTTCACTTCTCCCGGCCTTCAGGAAGGGGCTGGAACGTCTTCTTGCTAGACGCTTTGCATTTTGGGCCGTACCAAATCGCGTTATCTCCACGACGCATCTCGGAGCGCTACCTGGAAGGTCTACCATGGATCTCGTAGAATGTTTGGTTCACGATGTCGAAAAAGCATGGGAAACAAAGCAAGTTTGCACTCTCGCTACGCTCGATATCCAAAGTGCCTTCGATAGCATTCAGCCTGGCCGCCTTCGCGCTCGTCTTCGCGAACAGGGATGGCCTTTACCATACGTGAATTGAGCTGCTTCCTTTGCTTCTTGCAGGAAGGCTCGTGTCAGAGTGGGTGATTTTGTAGGTGACTTCTTGGATATTCCGCATGGCTTGACCCAAGGATCCCCTGCTTCCCCTATCCTTTTCCTCCTCTTTCTCGAGCCTGTATTCAAACTCGGGTTTCCTACTTATGGTTACGCAGACGACGTAGCGATCCTTTCGGTCGCAAAATCTCTGGTCGATACTTCTCATTTAACCGCCAATAGGGTTGGAAGTATCACCCGATGGTGCGATGAGAACGGACTCTTGTTGGCAGAAAACAA